ATATAAACTCCAAAACTGAACATTTATATGAAAGGATTATTAAACCGTATGGTGATTAATTTCCTAACATGTCAAGTTTGTGTCAAATAGCTTTATGCTTTTATGTAACAAGTGTTAATTGTGAAAGAATATTTTCTGTACAAAACAGACTAAAGACAAAATTCAGGTGCTTTATGAAGGCTGAAAAGATACTATTTAATGAGAATTGTAATGTTAGGCCTAGAAATTTTATTGTATGATTCGAGTCCTGCAAATAAAACATGGGACAGTGCTAAAAACAGAAGTTTGAGGCTTTCACAGCTATACAAACAGAGAATTAAGAAAATTGAAATAAATAAATGTGTAAATTGTGTGTGTGTTTTTGTAGTACTTCCTTAGAGCCAAATACATAATAAGATAATAGTGACACTTTCAAACTATTAAAAATGATTCAATCACTACATAAACCAGCATACAAATGCTTGTACTTGATACTGAATTACTTACCACATTTGGCAGATACTGATTACCATACTGATCATGGCAAAAATTATTTGGATCTCGTTGAGTACTCTGACATTTCACCCACCTTCATGACATTTTAGCATCCAGCAAAAGATTATTTTGATAATTTATTTTTCTTTACCAATTCTGTTGGTTTAAGAGTATTTCCTGCTTGATATAAATGTGGTCTCCCACCAAATGCTGCTCCACTAGTCTACTCTCCACTTCCTGGATGTCATACTTCATGGACTCTCTCTTTCTGTTTTATTTGTCTCTCTTGCTGTTTTTAGAAATGAGCTCATCTTTGTAATTTCTTTCTTTGCACCAGCCCGCTACCATTTTCAATGTAGGATTCTATCTTTTTATGGTGCAGAGAGGTGGGTTATGTTGCTGAAGATAACAGTTTACTTACCTAAAAATGTATCTCGGATAGATACTGACCTCCCTGCATCACCTCTAATCATTCCTCTTCATTTATGCTGCATTTACTTTACATCATAAGTAATGAGCATATGTTGAGATGCTATTGCTAAGGGGGAATACTGTGCATGAAGAACATGTTGCCTTCCTATTGGTGGAGAGTTATAGTCTAGTGATTATTACATCATAGGCTGGCACAATACATGTTCACATCTATAGAGGTGGAACTTTTTCCATGCTTGTTTCATGTGCAAGTATGTACACGTCAGTGCACATGAGGGAATAGCTCTTTACGGTGCAAAGAGGTGAGTATCTGTTTGAAATTTGCAGGTAAGTTAACTTCTGGATTAATCTGTATTAATTTTTTACAATGCTATTAAGTACATAGCAGTTAGTTACCCTTCCCAAAAGTGACCAAACTGTCAAAATTTATGTTCTGATAGATGCCCATTCCACTTTGAATTTATTTCTTTAATAAACACCTCTCAAACCTTCCTTCCATAGCTCTTTTTTACAGGTGAATCAGATTTAGGTGACTCTCTGGGCTCTACTATGATTAGCTGTAAATATTGTTGCTCACAGTAGTCCTTCTACAGATTTTGTGTTCACTCATCAATTGTACATGATCACACTTATTCTGGATTTCATAAAAGCTAAATGGTGTACTAATTGTACCATTTATACTTATTTGCTTAGCTCTTTAGTTTTTCCTGTCCCAGTTCTCTTTGATATTCAGAAATGAAAAGCCCATTTCTCAATGTTATCGTTGTTCATCAAGTTCTTCTGGATACCTGGCCATCTTGATGGCAGAATGAATGAGCTTCTAGAGACTAGGAGCCAAATTGGTCTTCAGCAGTAATGTCAACCCTCTGTTTGTTCCATATAACTGGGAAGGCTTCATGTTAAGTTAGCAACTGATTTGGGGTGAGAAACAACATTAAAAGCTTTTCCAGATCAAACCTGCTGTATCACCGATTGGCCTTCTAGAGTGATGGAATTATTCAGATAAATATCAATTTGTGTTACCCCTTTGTGATTGTGCAGTGTAAATGTTGAACTGGAATATGTTTTCAACTACTTATTGGTCATAAGCTTTTTAATTCTACATAAAGTTTTATCATTTATTATTTTTGGAAAATAAAGGTAGATGCTTTATATAGTGTATTTCTCTCTCTCTCTCTTCTCTCTCTCTCTATATATATATATATATATATATGTGTGTGTGTGTGTGTGCATACCTATATTCTTCAGTTAATTTTATTTTACTATTGTCCAAAAAAGGTTTGCAGAATTTACCAACCCAAATAAAATGTGTGAATTTTTTGTTTTACCCTTTATGTAGTTGGATCTATGCAACCTAATCAAGCTTCTCATCATGAACACAGTCATGAACATGGTCATACACATGAGCATATGGAAACACCAGGAAGTTACTTAAGTAGAGACAAATACAAGGTCCGAAAAGATTGGAATCAGGTAAGTATATTTACTAAAATCTAAGAAAAGTTTCTAAAATTTTGAACACAGTTTGACTTCATGTTCTAAAGAATACTTCAGATACTCTGTAGCTAATGCTCTTGTTCAACACTGCTTACAAGTATTGTTAAAATTAGAAAATGCATGTCTTTTTCATAAAGAGCTGGGTGAATGCTATATTGCTGATTTCTTGCTGTTTTTGAATAATTGATACCACTACCATGACATTCTTCCCTGTCGTTATTTACAACAGATTTGGCTTTAGGGTACTTAGCCTTCTTTATCTACTTCTACTCTATGTAGCATAGCTCTACATTGACTTTCTTTGAGCCTTATACTGTGTGAGGTCCCACACTCTTCACAGGTGACTGGCTATTCATTCTAGTAAGTATCAAAACTGTGCCTTTGATGTGTCACACACATTGCTCTCATCCAACTTCAGAGCCATTGTCCCTCTAATTAGTTAGTTTCTTCTGTTTCCTCTGCCTTATCCTGTCTTCATGCACTTCAGAATTTAAGGGTTAACATCCCCAAACTGCCTCACCATTGAACTGGTTCCCCACACTTAGTTTTGCACCACTATTGAGTGGAGATACTGGGGTATGGCATGCACAGCCAACTACTTGGAACCATAAGTGGGAGTTGAGGAGTTGTGGAGCACCAGTGATCCCACCCACACCCATTTTAACATAGGTGTGTAACAGGCAAGTCATAGTGAGTAAGAAATAAGAGTTGTTCTATGATGATATACTAAGATGTTATAATCAATGTAAATCAGCAGACATAGTTTTCGTCATGGGTGATTTAAATGCCAAGATTTGCACAGGAAAATTTGGAAATAATGTGAAGCAATATGGACTTTGTTCACGAAATGAGAAAGGGGATAGACTCTTGCAGTTCTGCCAAGAAAACGATCTCATGACAACTGATGCCTTTTTAAACAACTGTAAGATTATCATACGTATGGAAAAGCACAGGAGGTATTCACAAGAATCAAATAGACTATGTGATGGTAAAGCAGCACTTTAGAAACTGTATAAAGAATAATTCATACTTATACTGGTGATGATGTAAATTTGAATCATAACCTGCTTGTGACAACAATCAATCGTAAAATAAAAATATTAAAGAAAAAAACTTCAAGAACAGTTGGACCTGAACAGACTTAAAGATGAAGATATCAGGAAAATCTATGCTTTGGAGGTCAATAACAGATACAAGTCCCACTTATGGGAATAAATAGAACAAGTAGAGGATGTGAAGCAAGAGATAGTAAACCAATAAAATGAAAGAAAGCATTAGGTATGCTTCAGAAAAAATAATTCCAAAATGTGTCAAGAGAAGAGACAAAGTTTGGATGATGGATGGCATACTACTGATGATGATGGAGAGAAAAGATAATATGATGAAATTTGAAAGAAAGATAACAAAGCAAGTTAGGAAGCAAAAAAAAGGTATAGTGAGATGTATGATGAGGTCCTAGAACTTGAGAAGAACCATTAGATTAGAGTCATGCATCAAAAGGTGAAATCATTCTTTGATAGAAAAATGGGTATAAGGACAGATAGTGGATGTATCAAAGATAAGGATAGAAAAATTCTGTTTGAAAAAAGTGCCATTATGAAGGAGGAAGTGTTATATGCCCTAAAAATGAGAAAAACAGGGAAACACCAGATATTGGTGAAGTAACAACAGAACATCTAAAGGCCCGGGATGAGACAGAGATAAAGATTGTAACGAATTTATGACACAAAATGTGCCGATCTGGTGATTTGTCTAGTGATTTAATTCAATCTACATTTATAAAGTTACCAAAAGAGCATAAGGCATAATAATAGATGTGATAACCAAGTGTGACTTAGGCAGTAGAGATGTGAGATTCATCCAGAACCTGTACTGGGAGTAAAAATCAGGTATTCATCTAGTGGAAGGTCAGTCAGATACTTTCAGTGTTAAGCATGGTGTAAGATAACGTTGTATATTTTTGCCAAAGCTATTCAACTTTTTACACAAAACAGATATTTTGAGAGATAGATGAGCTTTCAGGAATAAGAATTGGAAGGGTTAATATAGTGACACTGAGGTACACTGACGATACAGTGATACTGGTAGAGTCAGAGGAAGAATTACAAAGAATAATGGACTTAGTGAATAGGATAAATTTACAGTATAGGTTGAGTATGAATCTAAAGAAGACAAAAACCATGGTTGTGAGAAGAGATGTAAAAGAAGAAGAGTCAACATCAAAGTGATTGGTCACACACCAGGACAAGTGGACAAGTTTGTCTACTTGGTAGAACTAATAACTGAAGATGGTAAATGTGAGGCAGAAGTCAAGAGACACAGGACAGATGAGCATGGTGAGTGTTGACAGCTAATCTCCTAGGTGGAGCAGCTACAAGCAGATGATGACCATGACATGTGGATGACTATGTTACAGTCGAGATAAAATGAACCAAATTTGCCCTAGTGACCAATTTTGAAAACATGCCAACTAAATCAGTTAAACTAGATGTTAAAAGGAAAAAATGAAAATATATTATTATTTATTGTTGGTTAAATTGTTATGCAGCAGCACATGCAAGGGTGTAATTTTTTTTTTAATGTTTTAGCCTCAGGATAGTTGGCATGAGAAATATATTAGCCTTAATCCTTTTGCATTGGGTAGTTCAAAGTGTGCAAGTCGTAACCTTCTACAGAGTTGCATTCAAAACTTAATTAAACTACTTTATTATCAATGTATAAGAATGTAGTTAATAGATAAAATGTTAATATTATTTATGTTTTTAGTTCTTAATTAAGTTCTCTTGGTGTGGGTCTTCCTATGGTCAGAAGTCAAAGGGCATGTCAGCGAATGTATGTCAATAAGTTTGGTATCAAGTTGTAGATTATAATTCATATTTTACTGTTATATATTGATTTTGTAATTTAAAGGTAAATATTAGAAAAAAATCTTAAATATCGATTTTTGTGTCTCAAGTGGTATGTTGAATGCAGCATTGGTTCAAATTAGATGTTTGTGATGTCCAAATACAAAGTTATAGTTTCTTATCAATTATATAAATTACGGACACTGACAAGCTAGAATATAAAATAAGAACTTCCTATCTTTCCTGTTTTCTGAGATATTAATATATTTTTTTGAATCAACCAAGGTGGTCAGTTTTTGAAAATACTTTCTCACATACACCTACTTCACCCAATGACGTATGTATAACCAATCAAAGGCTCAGAATTTACCCCTAGTGGCTTTCTCAGCCTCTGTGAGGTATTTTCATGGCAAACTCTTTCTTTTTATTCTAGATTCCAAGAGGTAAGGTAAGAGTTTGAAATTTTATATTTTTTTAGACCCAAATTCAGCTTAGTTACTAAGCCTGATAAATTATAGTGAAATTCTGTGGTATTGATATAGTGATTTATGATTTTTGGTTATTCCAAAATGTATATGTGTCAGGAACTTGTAAATCTTAAAAGAACTCTCTGAAAGTACTGAATTAAAAAATTGGTATTGGGAATATAATTACAGTTGAAAAAGACACTGAAATGAAAATACTAAAGAAATATTTTAACAATGGTCCATGAATCTGAAAAAAGTATTGCTGTATTGACCCAACTATAGGGCAATCTCAAATATAAGGCAACGCCATTATCAGAAACCATGGGAAGGAAAAAAATTGAGTGCCATAACATCCTTTTTAGGTCTGCAAAATCAATGCTATAACTGAACAACCTGCAGGTAGATTAGTTGCAAGAATTAGTGATGACCTTGAGCGAACATCTGTCACGCGTGCATAGACGGATGCTATCTGGACATTCATGGATGTGACAGGCTGGATTAGGGGGAAGTGGCCTGTTGTCGGCCACAGTTATAAGGCAGCTATGAACTTTACAGCTTAATTATTAATAAAAAAACATTGCCTTATAATTGGACAAATATGGTAATTAAAGAACATGACTAAATGGAAGAGCATGTCAAGTAATTAAAGAAAAATATAATAAATTAACCAGAAGCCTAAACAAATGTCAAAATGTTAAAGAATTGACATAAATATGTAAAAGGTCGTTGATTATGAAAATGGGAATATCAAAGAAAAATTTTATAATATTCAATAGTCTGCTGTTAAGTTTCAAGTAGGGGCTCTAGTTCAAAATAGTTCCAAATAGAAGTTTTTAATGGTATCATTTCTGTTTTTGTGTTCATCTGATATAAGCTTGTACACATACCAAGCTTACAGTTTTTCTAAAAGTAGAAAATAGTAATAAGATAAGGACAATAGGCATGCATCTGTGGATTGTGTATTATTTAAATTCTCTAGGAATTGATGAACGTGGTTCTTGAGACATCAAATATAGTTTGTTTGTTCTTGCTGCAAGCAAGGCTATATCAAATGCACCATGAAATGGCTGCAGGCACAAATTAAAGAACATGGAAATGTATGGGAATCAAATAGATCATATTGAAACATGCTTTAGATGAGTATAATATAATCATCAATTTAGGTTATTTTAACCCATTGACTACTGATTTGCTGTATAGAGTACGGTCTTTATCCGGCATTTGAATGTGAGTGTGCCATATATGGTGTACGGCTCGAAAAAATTCTGCATTGGTAACAATGAAATTTGGTGAGATACAGAGAATGATGGACATTGCATGCTAAATACAATGAATTTTGCTTTATGACATCAAAACCTTTCAGGAGCAAGATGCTGTAATATCTGGATTCTATTAATGAACTATGGAGTAGCTAATCCTTATGATTTATGACCTGGTAATACTTGTTTAAAATATCTGCAAGTATATTATATTAATTTTAATAATGATAGAGAACATAATTTATAAGAGTGGAACTACTCACTCTTGATGTGAAGTATTGCAGCACTGCTGAAAGTTTGTTATATATCAATATTGATGTTAATTTTCACACAGTTTAATATCAGATAATTTGATATAATAATGTTGGAACATATAATGTTAGCATTTTTGTTTATCCATGCTTTTATTGTATTTTTTTTCTGATTATGTATGTATTTGTATTTTTCATTTTAAAACTTCTGTATTATCAAATGTGTTAAAACTTTGTTTTAATACTTAACAATATTTTTAGTTTTTATGATTAACTCTTACTAACTTCTCTTTTTTATTATAATAATTATAATTTTTTTTTATTCTCACAGAGAGCTTTCACAGTAGGAATAGGTGGACCAGTTGGATCTGGAAAAACTGCATTAGTTCTGGCTTTATGTAAACATCTTCGAGAAAGTCAAAACATCTGTGTTGTGACCAATGATATTTTTACCCGGTATGTCTCTCAAAACAAATGCATTCTAATATTATTTGGGAATTTTTCATTTCCTCACAAAATCATGTAATTTTAGTGAAGAATAGAAAGGATCCATAAATAATGTAATGGCCTAATCCCAAGTTTTAATCCTATTTTAACTGAGCAATTATTTTTATCTCAAGTAAAATGTTTCCATACAATTATTAATAAAGAAAACACTGGAACAGTACAGATTAAGTTTATGTATTATAAACTCAATGGGTTTTTTAATTTATAACGTTTAATGTTAGCTGTACAGTTCTTGGTTATGTGAAATTTGTACCCATTATTTTGCATTCATGTCATTATTCTGATTTAAAACTATTTTATATGATACTTTGGTGTGAGGTAATTTAATTCTTCATATCAAAGAAATAACAGATAGTGATTAGAAATGTAACAAAGTTTTGTTCCCTGATATTTGCTTTTGAGTACATGTCAAATGTTTTTCATTCTATTTGAAGATATGTTAAAATTATAAAAACATCTAAAAGTGTAACTTCAGAAAAATATGCTGTTTGTTTCTTCGTATAATTAATTATTTTGCTATATATCTTACCAAAATATATAACTTGTAAGTTTTATGTTCAAAGAGATTACTTAGAAAAAGATTGTTGTAGTTGTAGTACTAGAGGATAAAATAAAAGAACCATCTGATTATGATATTATGACTTACCTTTCATTTCTCTTTTTAATAAATAGTTTAAACTGTTTAAAAGAATTTAAAACAAGAAAGAAGTATGGAATTTTATAAAGAAAACATATTCTAATAACATACAGTTTTGAAAATATGATATATTCAGTTAACATGCATAATTATCTCTTGCATTATTATTAATCGTTATTGATTTAAATTGGCTTGTGTAGATTTCTTTTTAACTGTCCCAAAAATGTACTAGCTTTTAGATTCATACCTCATTTTATGTAGTGCTATAACAGTTTTATTTGATATATCTGTTTTTCTAGAGAAGATTGGGAATTTTTGGTTCGAAATGAAGCCTTACCACAGGCAAAAATGAGAGCTGTTGAAACTGGAGGTTGTCCACATGCTGCCATAAGAGAGGTAAACCTGCTTTGTATAGTTTCATCAGCTTTTGTTGTCAGTGGTGCTCTGCTGTACTTGTTCTATTTTAATTACTTGTTAAATAATGATTTAAAACAGTTAAGTTGCTTTTAATCTTTGGTATGCGTGTCTGTGTGTCTATATATAATATTTGTTTTCATAATTACAGAATTTGTCACTTTATAAATTGATTTATATGAATTGTAAGCTTTCTTTGTTATTAATTAAAATCCATGCATTCTTAGTATTGAAATAAAAGTGCTTTGATTAGGCAAATCCTCTAGTTCCAAAATAGTATTCATCAAATGGTATGAGTAATATAATCTGATGAAAATTCTGTAATTGATAGGTATAAAGTTTACTTTTTGCAGTAAACCATTGGCTTGGTTTTCTACTCATATTTGCAGGACTATTCATTGAACATGGAAACTGTAAAAGAACTTACCAAAAGCCACAATCCAGAGTTGATTATTCTTGAATCTGGTGGGGATAACCTTGCTGCAAACTTTAGTCGAGAGCTGGCAGATTATATCATCTATGTTATTGATGTAGCAGGTACATTCATTAGTTAATGGTCACTTTTTCTTATAATTAAAACTAAGCTTTCATTGTGTAGCAAACATATTTTTAAATATAGTATGTTTCAAAGTCATTGCACAAATTATGCTAATATTTTTATGTATATTACAGATTGAATTTACACATAATCCAACTTTTTTATCACTGTTTAGATATACTGACTTTTAAATACTAAATGTATGATGCATTTACTACTTTTAGGTTATAATTTTTTCTTCATACTTGAGTAAGGAAGCACATTATGCTAATATAATAATAGGTAGGCAAACAACGATTGGAAAAGTTGTTGTGATGATGGAACATAGTACATGTTTTGACAGGACATTGGCCTATAATGTGCCCAGGTTTTTAGAGGTACTGGCATAATTAAAACCCAAATTGCATTGGGGAACTCTGTCTATCCAATTTAACTTCAACTTTGCCAGCCTCACATGGGAAAAAAAGCAGATTGGGTACTCTAGCCCATAACATCACACATCTTTACCACCTTTTGCTGTCTACAGCCAGGTGTAGGAAGGTGGTTCCTCACAAGAAAAGAAAATTAATTAATAAAAAAAATATATATAAGTAAAGCTCCCATCCTCCACCGTTCTATGCTAATATCTGGATCTTCAATGATTCTAAAGAGATCCACACAGTAGCAGGTCTTATATATGGAAGGTGATATAACTATCACTATATTAATCTGCCTATACCAGATAATTATGGTTTTAATTAAATTAATATGGATAACCAGGGACCATTTGGTACTCAAAGGTTGAAATTGGGCACTACTCAAGAAATGTCAAAGTTAAACCCATCCTTCCTTTACTTTTATCAAGATCTTAGGTAATCTACTGTGTGGCATCTTATCCAAGTCCTTTCTGAAAATATAATTCACTATTTTAAAGTCCACACGCTTTTTATCATCTGGATAACAAGTAATAATCTCAAAACAAAAAAAATGACAGATTAGTAAGGCAAGATTTCTCTTCAGTGAATCCATGTTGATTTTCTTTCATGATATCATATTTCACTAAATGATTTTGCAAAACTTCTTGAATCGGACTTGAATATTTCCCACTACAGAATAAGTAAGTAAGACTAACTGACTCACAGCCCCCTTTAAAAATATGAATAACACTTGCAGCTCTCAAATTCTTGGGACCACTGTTTACTGACCAACAAAAAATGAAAGAGGACTTTGCATAGTTGATCTTAATCTCCCTTAGAATTATTAGGTAAACATTGTATTGTCTGGGTGCCTTATCTATTTTTAATATCTATCTTTTACTAAATATCAAGAGATTAATATCAACATGGTTCGGGTTAACACCAGTATTTTCCATAGTATGCTCAAGGTCAGGAGTATTCCTAACATCCTTCAGTAAAACAAGAGAAGGAGACATTTAAAAGCTCAGCCTTTTCTGACATTAATAACAACTTGCCATCATTGTCATAATCCTTTAAGGGCCCAATTAACATTTGAATATTCTGCTTACCTTTACACAGTTAAAATTTGTCATTAGTTTTACAGTTATTAGCCAACTGTTTCTCACAAAACCCTTCTTGATTTATTTTCTAACCAAATCTCTAGCTTTTATATAGTCTGTAAATCTTCTAACTTGTCTTTCAATTCAAATTTGTGTTATTTATTTGTTGTCCTTTATGTCTTTAGTAAGTCATTTACGTTTGATCTTCACTTTTCTTCTTTTCAGGAATATGCCTACATTCAATTAAAAGCAAGTTATTTATAAAACATTGCTCAAATTAATGTTGTATCATCTTTTAACTTATTATTAATCTTGTCTTATTGTCTCAAAGTTGACTTTCTGAAATTTAAACTTAAATTTTCTTGATAAAATGTAGCAGAACATGATACCTAATTATATAATGGTGACTTTTCTAAATGTTCCCCCACTTCAACTCTTAATCCAGAACTTCATCAGTGGTTAACAATCCTGAATCAGTTGAAGAAGCCTTCATATAATCCCAATCAACTTGTTTAAAATTCAATTCTGTTATGATTGTTTTATTAATATCCTTAATAGTAACATTTCTACAATTTCCTTACTGATTTCATGGCCTGCAATGATTGCCAATTAAAAAATATACTCTTGAATTCCCTGATTATATCTTTTATAAATTGAACCTCTTCACTATGTTTTTGTCTTCACTCCCAACAAGCTGCAGCTCTTTCCAGATATAAAGAGCCACCTCATTAGCATTAGAATAATAACAACTAAATTTATTCTTGAATGTATTGTGTTTATCTTGAAGTGTCAAAGGTATCTTTAGAACAATTATTTAACTTCTTTTTACTTTACTCAAGCCTGCGATGGTTTTATTGTCTTGATATTTTTACATGTTCTATAGTAATTCCTATACATTGAATCCAAAAATGATATCCATTTTTCTCCATCACATACAGATTTTTCACCAAACGTCATATGCACTTTTACATAGCTGAATCATTTTCATTGAAATCTGGTCACATTTTGTTATGCTTAAAATGTTGACAACAAATGGCTATAGATTTCTCTAGACCAATCACAATGTGAGAGTCTTATTGAGAAACACACCACTAGTATATAAATGATTAACAGGCAGCATGACATGTCATTTCTAGCTAGTATTTGTTTGCACATGCACTTTGACATAATTTTTTTTTCTTTTCAATAGTATTTATTCATCACTATGGCAACAAGAGATTGTGTAAATGACTCAAACATATTCTATTATATTTGCTGTAAATTTGTTCTAAAGAAATAAAGCCAAACAATACAAAATCATCAAAAAAGCGTATTACGCGTATTTTGGAATAGAACTTGGGGACCAAGACAAATCATGGGCTCGGCACAAAGTTCGCACCATTTGTGTCGAGGAGTTGAGACAATGGAATAAAGGTAAGAAAAAGTCTTTGCCTTTTGAAATTCCAATGGTTTGGCATGAGCTTAGAAACAACAGAGATGACTCTTATTTTTGCTCATGTAACATTCAAGGCTCCAATATTCCAAAAATAAAAAGAATATTTCTTATTTGAACCTTCAATCTGCTATAAGACCTGTTGCTCATGGATCTGATGTACCTGAACCTACTACACTGGAGACTTGATACAGTATCATCTGATTCTGAATCTGATGTCAGTAGAAATGATGATAGGAATTGTTTTCAACCTGAAACGTCTGGTGAACCACAACTTTTCACATAAGGTGAACTTAATGATTTGGGCCATCGAAAGGATTCTTCAAAGATTTTGGGGTCCAGACTTTGGGCTAAGAACATACTTTCTCCAGGGACATCATTTTACTGGTACAGAAATTGTGAGAAAGCGTTTATACCATACTTTTCGCAACAATATTGCTCAATTAATACCAATGCTAGAAGCTGTAGTCTATGAACCAAGGGAGTGGCGATTGTTCATTAATTCCTCCAAAAGAATTCTCAAAGTGTTCTCCTTCACGATGGTAACATATATGTATCTGTATGAAAATCTCGAACTTCTTAATAAGGTCAAGTACGAAGAACATGGTTGACTACTTTGTGGAGACTTAAAAGTCCTTTGTATGTTGTTGGGTCAACAATCCGATTATACAAAGTTTCCATTTTTTTGCCGTGAATTGGATAGTAGAGCATGAAATCAGCACTGGATAAAGAAGCATTGGCCACGTAGAGCCAGCCTGATACCAGGACTGAAAAACATTGAATGTGAAAATTTGGTTGACACTAAGAAAGTCCTGTTACCTCCACTTCACATAAAACTGGGCTTGATGAAGCAGTTTGTAAAGGCCTTAGACATATGGTGACTGTTTCAAGTATCTGTATGGGAAATTCCCATCTCTTTCAGAAGTGAAACTTAAAGAAGGGATTTTTGTTGGGCCTCAGATTAGGAAATTGACTTCGGATGAACAGTTCGAAAGGACAATGAGGAAAGGTGAAAAAGAAGTGTGGATTGCCTTTAAAGATGTTGTTTACGTATTTTTAGGAAACGGAAGGACCCAAATTACGAAAATAGTGTCAATAACATACTCGATAAATTCAAAGAGTTGTGTTGTAGTATAAACTTGAAAGTTCATTTCTTACGCTTGTGTATTGACTATTTCCCTGAAAATCTCGGTGCTGTCAATGAAAAACAAGGGGAAAGGTTTCATCAAGACATCAAGGAAATGGAAAGGGGGTATAAGGGAAGGTGGAACATCAGCATGATGGCTGATTACTGCTGGTCATTGAAACAAGATGCTCCAGATGAAATACATAAAAAAAGGACACAACATGTCGTTTTGTGACTAAAAGACATAGATTTCACAAAAAAAATCAGGATGAATGAGGATGCATATTCATTTGACATCAATGTTCTTCCCTTTTCTTCAGTTTGTTAACAAACATAATAATAAAAAAACATTCATTGTGCTAGACAAAATAATAATTTGATCTAAGTAAGAGTTTTTTTTCTTCTCGATTTTAAACAAAAATCCTTATGTGATAGAAAAAAAATTAATATTATTTTAAAAATCTGCATAGCTGAATTATGAAAAATCTTTTATTAAAATCAAAACAATTTTTATGAAGTTTGAATTTGCAGGCCTGTTTTATCATCCTCCCCCTCTGTCCTAGGTATCCCATCTAGAGCTGGGTAGTGAAATTGATTAGCACATTCACAGCGTGATTTCTCTAATTATGCAATAGAAACATAAGGCCTCATTGTGAACTCTGCCTTAAATACAGCTAATTTTATGGCTTTATGTTATGTTTTATGACAGAATGACTGCATTTGGAACTTTCTCTTGAGTGCACCACCGGTGGTACATGACGCCCTGTCTTTACCCATTTAAACTTTGGCTATCAATCACATAATCATAATATTTAATGTTTTTTCCTTTTTTCATCCTAATTTTTTTTTTTTTTAGAAGAATTATGAATATTTCACAATTTTATGGGCATAAAAAAAGGGACATTAGATAAAATAATCCCTACCTTGGATGATAATAGTTCTATCCTTATTATATTACAGTCTTCATAACAGTTTTCTTATTTATGAAAGAAGTCTCAATTAGTGTTTTTTTTTTTGCTTCACTTACTCACAATGAAAAATTTAATGCCAATCTCCAGATGTAATTTTAAAATAAATAGTGATTTAATCATGTAAATTCGTTTTATTTCAATTGTCCTTTCAACATGGCATTCGTGCTCCACTAGTGATACATGATGGAAGGTTTGGCTTTATTATAGCTGTCTGTATAAAATAAATGCTTCATATAGGAATTTGGAGATATGAGATACAGTTATATCTTATGGGTGCTGTGTACCACAGGTGGCTCACAATGTCCAACAGAAAATATGCATATGTACCACAGGTGGAGCACGACGTCATGAATGTTTTAATATCACAAAATTAATTGGCTAATCAAAATTAGTTGTTTGGATTATTATTAATGTTTTCAATTATTCCAACAATAGATTAATCAAAAATACAATCAAATCAATTATCATTAAAATAATCAACTGATCAAAATTAGGGTTTCTGATTATAATTATAATTTTCAGTAGTTTTAACTTTCCAAATGACTGAAATGGTGTTATTAAGTGTCTTTGTTATTAATTACATAACTACATAATGAGCTATATATGCTGTGTCTCCTGGGGGTATCAAAACCCAATTTCAGCATAATAAGTTGTTTTTTTTTTTACTTCAAGTTTGTTCAGCTTTATATCACCATAACCTGGTGATTTGGGGGAAAGGCAGTCTAGTGTGTAGAGGGTTTTGAGTTTGGTTTACACTGCCATCAAACTTGCTTGTCCCATCTTTGTTATTGCAAAGCTACTAAGACTACCTGCTATTGTCACTAATGTTGAACTGTTGACTAGTGGGAGGGCAAATGGCTGACAGCAACCACCACTAATTTTTTAGCTACTTAAGTATTAACTGAAGTGTAAATTTACAGGTTTTTTTCTTCTGATTTCTGATTACATAACTGCATTCTTTAATGTTGTAGAAGTAGGCACGGAATGAGGGGAGGGGTCTAGGGGATTCAGACACTTCTATCTCCATTTTCACTATTCAATATCTGTATTTTTTAATGTCATGTAAGCAGGCATGGATCAATAGGAGGGGTCCTCAGGTTTGTTTTCATCAAAATTAGTATTGTTTAGGACAGATCTTATAACGTAGACTTGTTACAAAATTGGTTTTTCATTGTTTAGAAGTTGGGAATCTCTTGAGAAAGATGTTTTTCATATTATTAAAGTTTAAAATAATTATCTGATCTAATTATCTGTAAGAATTAAAAATTACTTCAGCTATTACAGACAATTGTTAACATAATAATACTATATTATCTGAATAGACTTACTATTTTTATTCTTATTCATTCCCTATTAGTTTTCAAACCTTGTAAAATAAAGTTATAGGTATAAAAAGTTGTTTTTTTTTCATAAAATAAATTGATATTATTCTATTTTTTATTGTTTAACATTGTTTGACTTTAAATTTATGATACTTGAAGAATATCCAAAAGTACTAGGTTTTTACCCTACCTAAGTATGCATCTACCTTATAGATATGATGAGTTTTGACTATTCTTTCCCTTGGTTGGATACAAAGCACCTGAGTAACTGCTTAGTTATACATACAACACTTAAGGCTCCAGTGTTATTGTGAACACCCTTATGAACATGTAAAACAATACTGAATTGTCTGGAATAACAAGCCTGGAAAAATGTACATAGTAGTGTTGCAACAAATGATTAATAAATAAATAAATATTTCATTGTTTCTAAATGCTAAACAGTGCAGTTTCATTAACTTGTATGTATGATACATCTTCAGTACGAAACAAAGGTAACACGAGTGGAAAGTATTTAATATTTAGTAAAGATATTTTGTTGATGTTTGGTTTTTGTTTGAAATTAGTGTTCTTACTTTTAATAGATGTGAATTTTTTTTCAGTTGCAGTGTTTGTAAACATTGTTTTTTATTTTCATGAAATTAGATGAAATTATCATCAAACCAGATAAGCTTAGTTAAGTTTACTGTTTAGTGCGTATGGTAGGTGACTGCAAAATAATCATTTACTTTGGCTTTTTCCTTCATCAAGGTTTTTGTCTACACGTGTTACTCTCCTGCAGCCATCTCTGTTCATTGCCAGGTCTTCTGTAATTTCTTTTATCACTTATGTCCTATATGATCCCATCCTTCCAATGCTTTATTGGCTTTGCCTTTCTTTCCTTGCTGGCTACTGGAAGCTCTAATGCTCTCCTTAATGCTTATTCTTCTCATCTCTTCATGTGACTGAACTACCTCAGCCTCGCTTTTCTTGCCTTTTCCTCGATTCTATAGTCTCCTACCATTTCATTACTTTGTTTATTTGTTCTGCTCTTTGTTGATGACTCTCTCAATAACCAGCATTCTCTTTTCTGTTCTTATCAACAAGTCTTCTTTCTTCAGGGACCAGGTCTCAGTTCTGAAGAGGTGTACTGGTATAATCATGGTCTTATATAGTTACTTCATGATTGTTGTTACTCCTTCATAAGTGGCTCTCACTAATGTGATCAGCATTTTGGGCACTCCTCTGTTTTGGATGCACCAGTATACTAATTCTTGTGGCACCCTGTCATACATTCTTCTACATGTGTGTTTTGCAAGATTTTTATGCCCAGGTGACTGCAAAATATTCTAATGACTGAAAACTTTATTGAATATTATTGTACATCCTATTAAAACAACATATATAAATAAATTGGTTACTTAATTATTTCTAAGTGCAGTTGTCATATGTTTTAACTAAAACATTATTACCCTTATTGGTGATAGAATAACATCTTTTCATTATTTAACTATCAACTTATTTGATTACATAAGAACAGTGGATGATTACTGCGTATTTTAAAAACAAATAAAATATATGACTGCATGGTCATCTCTAGTTGACATTAGTGATTAATTCATTAAATAAGAAATGTCCAAATTAATAAAAAAAAGTGTGCAGAAATATTTAATTTTTAGTGACAAAATAGTTTTTTTTTTTAAATATGCACATGGTAAATTCCAGAAGATGTCTATCATATGAAGTGAGGGGTAATTCCAAAATTATTTTAAAGAAAACAAAACTAGGTTAAAATAGGAAAATTAATATTATGTTAGAACATGTTATAATAATTCACTGGCTCACAAAGCTGTAGATTGATTCATGAGTGATTAGAAAAAAACATTAATTACCCAGCTCTAATCCAATTACTATGTCTTTTCTATTTTCCCTACACATTATGTAAGCTTAATTTAAATTATCTTTAATCAAATTCTTTGCAGCTTCTCTAAATACTCTGCTATCTAGTCTGTGTAAGTGGAGTCCACTGTACTCTTGAAAAATGTCCCACAGGTCCAAGCAGTATACTTCTTGCTCTAAGCAGGTCTCTTGTAATCTTTCATATAAGGACTAGTTTAATTAATTCATTCTTGTGTGTATCTAAGGAGACACTCTTGAAAAGGTCACATTTGTATTTGTTCCTAAACTTCTCAAGAAATTTTGCACCTAGCTTGAGGGAGCACTCCTGAAAAGGCCACATGTATGTTTTATTCCTAATCTTCTGAAGAAAATATTATTTATAATTTTCATCACTGTGTGCTTATATGTGTACTACAAAAAGAGAATATTTTTTGGTACCAGAAATTATTAACTATCAAAGCATGCTGTAACATTTTCCTGTACCTTAGCACCCTATAAACACATTCTAGCCCTAGACTTTTTATGCTTCTCACTACAAGAAACTTCATGATCATTCTTAATAATAGTCCCTAGTTATGTGAACCTCTTGATTTTCTTTTCTTCTAGCAAACATTCAAAGATTCCTGAGTGTTAATTGAACTGTCTCTGTAGCCTTAACTTTTTCAATTCTGTATGATACTGTTTGTTGCATTAAACATTAAGTAAAGTTATGGGCAAAATCCATAGAGCTTTTTTTTAATTTTTTTTTTTACTTTTGATATGTCTTAAATTATTCCATATAACCTTCAGGAGGAGACAAGATTCCAAGAAAAGGAGGACCAGGAATAACTGAAAGCGACTTGTTGGTAATCAATAAAACTGATTTGGCAGAAGCAGTAGGTGCTGACTTAAAGGCAAGTTCATAGGAATATTAGTTGGGCTCTCGTAACTATTAATTCTTAATTTTTTGGAGGAAAGTAGAGAGTTTACAAACTTGAAAAATATTATTATACATAGATTGTTGTTAGTATGAGGTCCTAAGCTGGAGAGGCTTTTGCTATTTGTAAAACTTGATTTCTTTGGCAAAAGTTTTTAATCTATTGTTGAAATAAACATATTGAATCACAAGAAAAGTACCCTTCCCCAGTACCAGAAAAAGTTTTAAGTTAATCTATCAACTTAAATTGTTTCATGGACTTTAAAAAGTTTTATTGTGTTGCACTCTTGGTTTGACTCAGAGCCAAAGCTCTGAGCTATTTATACCACCCACTGCAAAAAGTAATTGTTGAGCATTTCAGTCATGCTAAAAGCCACTCAACAACAACATATAGTAAATCTATATTTTTATTCTTTAAGTTACATTACATTTTGAAATGTGAACGATAGTGTGATTAATTCCTAACAAATTAGTGTAGAATATCATGCTTGCAAAATAAAATTTGGCATCAACATTATTCATGACTGTTCTCCTGTCATTTCAAAAGTGTATGTTGAACTTTGCCTGTGTGCACAGCTTGAGAAATGGCCATCGTAAATGGCAGACAGATTGCTTGGACAGACACTATGGTTCATGATATATATAAGATATCATACTCAAATTGTATATAAGATAATTATTATATTTTACACTAAAATATTAAACACTTTGATTGAAGCAGTTGGTTGTTATACATAGTTTAGGTCAAAGACCATAACTAAATGTGCCTTGTATGTAGGTAATTTTGAGGGATTTTTCAAAGGTAAAAGATGAATGAAAATATAACATGTCTGTGTCATCATAGGAGAACTGTACTTGTTCAAAGTAAGGAAAAAAAATAAAAAACAACTACAAATTATCTTTCACAACTTGAAGAAAATGACAATGATAAAAGCTTTAAAAGTTTATTAAACTTTCAGCACTTAATCAACTACTGTTCTTCAAATGTGCATCAGCTAGTGCATGTATCTTACACATAAAATTTTCATGTGGTGCCTTATTAGTTATATTGAATCATTGGAAAAGTGCCCATCATATCAACTGTATAAAGGTATAGCTGGTATTTTCAGTGTCAGTGTGTTTCTTGTTTTTTTTGTCACTTCCTTTTTTTCTTACTAGTTATAAGACTGTTAGTCAAACATGCATAGACTCTTTAATTACTACACTTGTACAACAGAAAGTGCTCATACTGTAACAATATTTGTATTGTATAACATAGATCCATTCTTCCATGTTTAGGTAGTATGGAAACAAACTAGCCTGCGAGCATATTAGCCATTCTGAATATTCATTAGTTAATAACTTTAAATTTTATGTAGCATTTTTTTGCATAATTTTTTTCTATGTCAGTGTGTTGTACTGTATTCTTGATACTACCAACTTATTCTATGCAAATTAAGTTTAAAGGGAAAATATACTTTCACAATGCATACTTTAATGTAAATTATAATAATTCAGAAGTCCATACTTGTTTATTTTAAACCTGAGTTTCTGAATGTGATTATAGCATAAAAGAAACAAACTGTAAAATTGCACAGTCGATAGAAAAGTCTGAGAAATATACACCAAAAACCATCTAACATGAAACCGTACTCGTTGTTTCTGTGATTACATTCTAACAAGGAGAGGCTTGACTCTCAACTTGCGGATCATGGGTTTGAATCTTTATGACTGAACATATTCACACTTTCAGCCATGTGATCATTATAACAGGACAGTCAATCTTGCTGTTCATTGATAAAAAAAAATAAAAAAAAAAAAATAATAAAAAAAAAAAAGTAGCCCAAAAGCTGCCTTCCCTCTAGTCTAGTGTAGGATGCAAATTCTATATACCCAGCTCTCCTTTATATTTCATCTACATAAAAAATATTTTATGTAAGGTCTAGTTTGGAACATTGGTAAATTCATTTAAGGTTATTTAAGGTGCAAAATAAAGCCTGCAATTTTACTTTGTATTGTTTATCTACTCATTAAAACTATCTATTGTTGTGTTTTAAATTATATTTTTAATATTCTAATTTAAAATTTTGTTTTCTAGAATCTAGAAATTTCATGTAGTATATTGAAATGATATAATACAAAACTCAATCAATTAATGAGTATTTAGTCAATGATTGATACAATTCAGTGTTTCCTGGTGACTTACGCAGTGAATGTTATTGCATCTGTTTCTCTATGATTCATTTAGTCTGAAGGGTATTAAACATTTTTGTTATTGATCAATTAATAACGAAATTCTGCAAGTAAGTGTAGTTGTGAAATTAGACCTATAAGTGAATATAACTTGTAGCAGACATTATAGAACAAGTAAGTTAATATGTTGCCATTATGTTGACTGGACTTGTCATTATTTTTTACTAAATATAAAACATGTTAAAACCCTGGTGTCGGAATTGGGATTATTTTAGTGAAAATAATCAATGAGGTTGAAAAGAACATCAATAACAATAAAACATTTGGAAAAAAGTTAGTAAATACAAAGATCAAACCAGCCACATCTCAAAAATTCATTGCTAAGAACTCCATTTGCTATTATGTATGGAATAGGAGAACCTATTTAGTCCACACATGTTACTACTATTGCTGTATCAGACTTTAACTGACCAGTTCATCAACACTGCCCAGTGGATTATATTGGAAAGGTATCATAGGAAGCATATCAGATTCATTTAGAAATTATTTCGAGAGTGAATGGTTGAAATAATGAACAACACATTATTCATCTTGCTGCCCATTTAACCTTTTCACATCAGGTCTGTCTAACTGCACTTGTCATGGTCTTTTAGCAAATAATTTTCAAAATTTAATTAGATATTTTTTTTTATGTTATACCAATTAGTATAGCATAAAATCATGGCTAATAATCCATATTTTAATAGTATATAAGTTTTAAGTTCTTAATTTTATAAGGCAATATTTTATAAAATCCTGAATTTACCCTAATATGAGAAATGTGACATATTTCTCTAGGCATTCCTTCTTCTCTATTTTATTCACCACCCCTCTAATAAGTATGAAATATAATCTAAATTACTCACTATAAAATAGTCATTGCTCAGACAAACCATAATTTCTATAGCCTTCAATTTTGCTTGGTTACAGAGCTATGAAATAGAAAATCAGACTCCTATTGCCACACCCACCTGTCACATCCTCTCTTTCATGATTTGTTAATAGTTCTCTCTCTTATATTTAATTCTATATTATGTATAACCATTAGAAAGCCAAGGTTTTTCATCTATAAATTGACATATTATATTAGGTTTTTTTCTGAACAAAGAATTATCAAATTCTCAGTTAGTACAAGCTTCGTTCCCATTGCAAAGATAATGACTAGCTTGGATGAATTTGTAACTATGTTTGCAGACAGCCAGAAAATTTGTGACAGTTAGGGGAAATTGTCTGCTTTTTGCATGTTATTATTCTATGTTCTTTGGTGCATTATTTAATTAAATAAAAATTTAGTGCATTACTACCATTAGTATAATAAAAACGAAGAAGAAGTTGGGTTAAGTGTTGTCGACAGCAAAAGTAAAAGAAGACCCAGGTAAGTACTATATTTCTTGTTTATTCTTTATTTATTATTATAAAAGTAACTAAAATGTAAAATTAAGGATCTCTTTAGGTTAGTTAAGGTTAAATTAGGTAAAATAAATAATAATAATAATATAATAAAAATGTTTCACAAGGCATGAACTCGAGCAGCTCAGACTCAGAGTAGCTTGTGGTTAATGTAATTCAATAGTGTAATGTGAGCTCCACATTCCCCAAGTGATCAGTTAGTTGGTCAAAGGGCAATCGTGGAGCAATAAAACAATAAATTTAAGTATAAATAGACGTATACTGTTACGAGTTTAAACTACATAGGATAAACAAATGTAGTTTATGTTACAATTTGAAATCATTCTAGAAAGGAAAAAAAGGTTAATTAGATTTATTTTGATTTTTTTGTTGGTGGTTATGAGTTTGGTCAAATTGACTGACCCCGTAAAGAGATAGGGTAGAGAAAGTAACACATGAAATATAAAGTTTTATTGAAAACAAATCTTTTAAATGTATTTAAGAGGTTTTAGAGATTACATAAATCATATTAGTGATTTTTGGGATGAAGAATAGTTTTTTTTTATCATAACATGAAAATCACTTTGCTCTCGGACTAGTAATGAAACAGACTTAATATATTCACAAACAAATCTTTATTCAAAGTACTTCATTAAACAATCAGATTTTTTTTTTATAAAAGACTTGTAATGTTTACTAAAAGTCTACCAAACTTTGTGAAGATACACATCCTGCATTAAAAGTTATAGGATAAATACTTAACGTGTGCAAGTGTGTATAAGAACTCTTATTTTATACCGAGCCCATTGCGAAAGGGTTAAAAGGACCAGCTTTAATGACATTAAGCATCCTTCCATCTGAGAGTTGTAACAACTATTAAATACTAGTATCTGACTTATCCAATAGTTATGGAGTGAAACATTAAAAGAAAATATCTGAAGCATACTCTTGTTTTCATGACCCCCAAAAGCTTGAGGTCATCGATGTTGCCAGTTCTTGGATGGTTTTGAGTGTGAATTTTCCCTTGTTGTGTGCTCATTAATATCTTTATTTATTTTGATATTAGGTCACCAGTTGTCTTGTAATTTGCTTTAAGCTTATTATGCATTCATTACTATCCACAAATTTATAGTCAGTTATTAATATTTTGACAGTTATTCTGACTTGTATCACTAGTTATCTCTTAATTTTACTTTAAGCTTGGTATCAAACTCATTACTAACCAAGAGTTAATGGTCAGTTATTTTTCTGATGGTTTTAGTGTAGAGTGGTGATCTTTCTCAGAGATTTGATACTTTTTTCTGTGTTCTCTTGATGGTAAGATCTTGTTTTGAATAAAATGTTTGCACCAAAGTGTCACTTTTGAAATTAGAATGAAATATATTTATATGCTCATATGATTGTTTAATGGTTCTTTTAGCTTTGGTTTTTTTTATAACATTTTGAAATAGTTTACATTAGAGCTCAGTGGATTTTGTTACCTTTTTTTTTATAACTACTGTTTATTGACTTCACAAGTCTGTAATGAAGGAACTATAAGAAAATTACACTTCAACTTACACTACAACTTCAAATAATATTTCCTTCAATATATTCATATTGTTAACTTTAACCTTCTGCTCCCTATATGTACTTGTTTCACAGTATGTAAATATATATCTATATATATTATGCCACATATGAATGAAAATATAGGAATTGGTCTGGATATTAAAACTTTGTTATATGAAGTTAATTATGTACATACGACATATTATTATTGGCCTATAAGACCATTAATACTGGTGAGAGAATGTTTCAATTGAAATATTTGGCAGGAAGTAAATTTTCATGTCAGGATAAGGGTAATGGGGAGGCTCATACTACATCTGAAATAAAAAACAGTTTTAACTGTTGTATTTTAGCAAGAGTATTGTAAGATATTTTGATTGGACTGAATTGAAATGTTTATGAATGGTTGAAATTATCAGTGGTATATGAAACTTGCAGACAGTAGCTTAGGTGTCATAACAATTATATACACAGGTTGAAGTATTAGTAAAGCACACAATTTTTAAAACATTTTCTTAACATTGTTTCAGTACAAAGTGCAGTATAATAAGATGGTAATAGTAGACTATGGAGGGGTAAAACTTAATAAACCACACCAAAGGTAGAAGTAAACCTTTTAAGGAAAGACTGTGTAAATCTTTATGGATTCAAACAGCCAAAGTAGGAGTGAGCAGTTCATTGATTAGCGTAATGTTAACTAATTAATTGAAAGTACAATTAAATTAATGTATCCAATTATTATTATTATTTTTAATTATTCCAATGATCGATTAATCAAAATCCTAATTTCAATTATTACTATTTTCAGTTTTACCAACTACACAAGTAATTAAAATATTGCTTGACCTTTATTATGACAAATCTAATAAGGCTATCCACCATTGTCACTTACCTTGAACCACTGATTAAAGGGAAGGCAACAGGCTGGCAGCACCAACTACCAATCTTTTCTTTCTCTCTTATCCTTTTTTCTTTTTTCTTTGGAACTGCTGACTAGAGGTAAGGCAACTGTATGGCAGTACCATTGTGCCAACCTTTTTTTTTCTATGTTGCTTGATTGTAGGACCATGGTTTGAGGAGCACTGTACTAATTATTCAGTTGATTATTATCGATTAATGAGGCCATTGATTATTGATTAGCAAATAACACTAATCACCCAGCTCTAGTCAAAAGCAAGGGTTGGCTTGTGTGTAGGAACCAGTTTGTAGCTTGGTCCCCTCTCTTTCCTTTTGGAAATCTTTAGCTCTGTAGCATTGACCAAAAGGATTCAATTAGAAGTTCTGAAAATGAACAAATGATAGGGCTAAGAGCGTTTTTTTTTAAGTTATTTTTCAGTCAGGAAAGTGTTTTGTTAAATCCAAAGAAATACTTGCCTAAATAAATATAACTGTTTGAAAGCTACAGAAGTGTTCTTTGATAAGAAGACATCAGTAGATGATGGCAAAATATTATGATGACTCAAATCTCTATTTATTGAATATTAATTTTATGTCTATTGTATTCAAACAGCATTGAAAAACAAATTGGCTAAATGACTACTTAGTCATTTGTAATTGCAATTGTGGTATGTTTTAGACAAAAGCATTATTGGTATTATCAGTGTGATAGTAAAATGTTTTCATCATTTTATATACACAAGATTAATAGTGGACTACTGCATATTTTAAGAACAAAGATAATGTTGACAATGTAGTTATCTTGACATTAGTGATTTGCTATGTATGAAATGTTCAGATTGTCTTTAAAAATTTATGCCAGAAAGGTTTGCAAAGATAAGTTGTTTTTTTTTGTTTGTTTTTTGCAAAATGTGCTAATGTTGATCACGAGCAGAAACATTATTGGTTGTCAGTCATACTAAATGAAGGGTAGTTTGAAAATGTCTTTAAAAAATAATATAGCTGCAAATAGGAAGATTGATTTCATGAGAATAATCTATTAGTTGAATATTAATGAGCTCTATGATTAATCAGTTATCAAATTCCACTAATTGCTCATTTCTACAAAGAACTGCTTTAATTTTTTTTTTACATGATACTTTAATGTATTAAATAGGAAAATAGTGAACATTTGTAGTAATTTGTGATAATACCTTTGTTTCACCCAACTACTACCTTAATGAGACCAATGATTAATCATTTAGAAACTTTCACTAATTACCCATTATCTGATGGGTAACGGGTAAGTTTATGGACTTATAACACTAAAATCATGGGTTTGGATCCTTGTGCTGGTCAGAGTGCAGATAGCCCACTATGCAGCTTTGTGCTAAAACAGGAATGGAGACTAATTAACCAACTTTACAAATAACTAGTTTGATACTTTTTGATTTATGCTTCAGTAATGTATTATTAAGTTGGAATATTTGTGATAATATACCTTTTATTAGACCTAAATACTACTTTAAGATTTAATAACTCGCCTGTACTTTTACAATTTCTCATTTCTGATTTTAAGAAATATGAACTGTTGAGAATTTTAGTACAAGTTCTGTAGTATTCAGCAATGTTTTGGTAATACCAACATATAGATAACAGTTTTAAGAAACATTTGTCAGGCATTTAAAAAAAAATTCAAACTTCTTCAAGTGTCTGCTTAAGAAGGAAGACTTGGCCATTATGTTATTACTTTACTATTTACAATCATTTTTAATTTTAATATTTATATATATGTTGAAAAAATATGAGAATTTGTTTTAATTGGATTTATTTTCTGCAGGTTATGGAACGTGATGCAAATGTAATGAGACAGAATGGACCAACCTTGTTTATTCAAGCTCGTCACAATGTTGGAATAGATGATGTTGCTAATTATATCATGCAAGCATATAAGGAGGTAGTTTGTGTTTAAATGTTCCTAATTGTTGAGTAATACCAACTTCTTGAATTCTGGTACTATAGAAATTTTTAAAGGAATTCAATTAATAAAATTCACAAGTACATTTTTGTTAAAGCTCACTATTCACAAATCCTTTTGTATTTTTGAATCATGTTACTTTATTAAACATTAGTGTGAACATTGAATATGAGTAGTTGCAATGACACCAGCTACTCTGTCATTCTATATGAATTAAAATATTACGTCTTGTAGTTTCAGATTCAACTGCATGTAGATTATTCAGTCTCGTAGAGTTTACCTATCATAAATATATTTGTTAAAAACTTTCTGATATTTTACCTGAAAATGAATCAAGTTGTAGGTTTAGATTTAGAATTAGTGGAGTTTTAAATAAGTTTTTTTTAGATTTGTTTATTTTGAACTAAAACAACATGTACAATATAAAGTTTTATCATGGTATTTTGTTAGAATATACATGTAATCAAGACAAATATATAGTTACTACTGAAAGTATTAGTATTATATTTTGACACTAGGGTTATTGAAGCCAAAGATAATGGTGCAACAAATTTATGTATGTATGTTTGAATCATTTTGATAGATATAAAACAGGTCTTCCTGTGCTCTATATGAACCATGTAGGTGGTTTTATAACTTCTTTTGCAAATACATGAGAACATTTAGAGATACAATGTCAGTAAAACCTTTGGTTAAGTAATTAAACCTAAAAAATACTTACCTAAATAAATATCATTAATAGCAAGTGTAAGTAGATTTATACTTTCCTTTTATGGAGAAGCTGATAGCATTTTATGGTTAAACCTAACTCTAGTTACAAAAGTATGTGTACAAACTACCTCTGTCTACTTGCACTAATTATGGATCTGCAAATGTTACAATGTTAGGCCTTGACTTATCCAAACATATAGGAAACTAACAGTTCTTTATTTCTCTCTCTACTGGTGTGTAATTTGTAAGCATTTAAATCATATTACTTACATTTATCATTCAATTGGTAATGTGATGCTGTACAACTACAATTTACCTGTGTGAAGCTGTTTGATTGCTGCATGAAGCATGACATTATGTTCATTCTTTCGTTTGATTTTTAGTACTTTGAACAAAATCCTGTAACATTCTTTTCTTGCTTGTGATGTTTAGTTTTTTTTCTTTGCACTTTATGTTGAGCAACTAAAAAGAAATCCAGATGCTACTGATATCCCATTTATATCTTCTGCTAATATTGCAGTTCCTTTTGAATATACTATAACTCTGGTAACTTCATCATCAGTGTTTGTTTTTTTTAATTTAACTCCTTCTCTTCTTTAAAGATTGGTTTATTGTTTCAATTTTTTTAGTTTTTTAATTTCTCTCTTCCAGGTTTTTGCTATTATTTTTATTTTTTGTTACAACATGTTTTCTTCAGTAATGTAGTCTTGGCAAGCAATATTATTATTTTTATATTAATAACATATACTTTGTGGTTTCATGCAAATGTTTGTGGGGCTCTAGTCCCAGTAATCTTCATTAATAAATCATTAAATGTTATTCTGCCAAGTGACTTCCTTTCATTTGTCAACACTTGTTTTTTTAGTAAGAGGTTTCTTTTCCATGTTTATATTGCTGTGACTGAAGATAAAACATCCTTTATACTTTTGGACAGCATTATTGTTTTCATTTTAATGTAATGTATTAAATTTGCTTCCCAAATTTTTTATTATGTTCTCTTAAAAAAGGATCCAGTCCTTAGGTAGTGATGAGAAGAGTTTTGAGCTCATGGGAAAATTCTTGAGCAACAAGTGAGTGTGTAAACATATTTTGAAATAATTCTGATGACCTTTCATACAATACAAAAATAATAGTTAGACACAGCTTTCATTGCCCAAATAACTTAAATTTTTCTCTTATGATCATTAGTAATTCTAAATGACAAAAAGGATTATTGTGTTTTTTGTCCTTTGTACAAGTATATTTCTTTAAGAAGGAGTTGATTGAACTACTGTATCTGTAAATTTTGTTGCAAAGCTTTAAGTCTATTGAAATTTGTATGTATTACTGTTTTTCTTGTCACTCACATGTACATTGACCTTTTCTAGGCTTGCATTGTTGCATTCATTGTCTCTGTAGTATAAGCTATAGTGGAACTGATCAACATCAGATCTATCAACCAGCTAAATTATTCTATATTTTTTACATTAACAAGTAAATCTACAAGTATGACAGTGAATACTTCATTATTACAGCTTCAAAGAGAATTTCAGGAGATCCACAACAATGCATTCAATGCCAATTTGAATAATAAAAAAATATGTGAAAATGTAAGGGAACATATTCAAGATACAGATTCCTTTGTAGTTTGGAATGATATATCGAAGTGCTAATGATACAAAGCTGCAATTAGAGCTTCTCAGTGTTTGTTTCAACATAGAAACTCTTTATATGTGAAGAGCCAAAGGATCACTGTCATTTCATCTGTTAAATTTTATTGTGAAAGAGAAAATCAGTTGTGTTTTAAAAACTTCTATGGTTCTATGCTTCTTATTAGTGACACTTTGAAAAGTGTTTTTATAGATTTACTTGAGGTGTGTATCAATAACATCTCATTCTATTTGGTTTAGTGTAAACTAAATATTCATAGCTTTCTTGTGAATGTTAGGTTCAGGATTGTATGTACGCATTTTAAAAGCTTAGCTTTTTGAAAGGTAGCTTCAGCATTTTGTTTATTAGAAGCCTAGCCCTGTGAAATGTTCAGAACATTCAGTGAAAGACCAATTAATTCAGTCTTTGCTTATTTTCTGTCAAAAAGTAAGTAGCTTAAAAAGTTTAACATAATTTTAAAGTTTCAACTAAAACTATTTTTAGATCAGAGCAAAATTTTAAGTATATTTTTGTAATATCTTGCATAATTGTTTTCTTCAACAAATATTAATAAAGTTAACATAAAAATTGTGCTCCATGTTTTCTTGTTCCATTTTGAAAATTTACTTGCTCAACTAATTACTATTTCAAGATATTTTGTTTTACATGCTTAAGTTAATTTTCTTTCATAGACAAATATTGATTAATATTGTAATACATGGTTCTCCATTTCCAGAACAACTTAGAAATATTGCACAGTTATCAGCAATATTATTTCTCCGCAGCTCAACTAGGTCAGTGATAATGTCACTCAGTGGAGCTGTATATGCTTTTGTGTCTGTGTTGTTTTCTTGCTTTGTTTTTACACACACCTTTATGCTCTTTTCATCAACCTAGCTGGGCTAAAGAGAAATAATATTGCTGAAAACCGTAGCTCTCAATTGGTTATTATATTAGATTTACCAAATGAAAACTATTATGTCACTAAGTGTTATTGCTCTTGTGACCAAAAGGAACCTGCTTTTCACTGTCCCACTCTAAAGTCACAGGTCATGCAATTAAGTAGGCTATCTGTAATTCTGTGTTATCGTCATTTGCATAGAACTCTCCTTCTACATTTAAAATTTTATTGCAGTAAAATATGTAAGTAAACAATTAGGTGTTGGTAAAACATCACATTATGTTATTAATATTCTTCAAACCATGGCTATAAGTATGTAGAAGCAACTGAACAATTTTCAAACATTTGTTTTCAATGCCCACCATTACATTGTAGTAGGCAATTAATTTGATTAATCGATATAATTGGTCACCTATGAGCATCGATTACATCAATTATTGTCACCAAAATTATTTATTCATTGAAATTATGATCAAAGCTATTGATATTGCACAAATAAGCAACTAACTGAAATAATGTTTCTTATTTGTTACTACTTTCATTTATTCCAACTATTCAAGTAATCAAAATATTACATTATGATTTCTCTGTCTTTTTTTTTTTCAGTTAATTCAAATTTCTTCAGACATAACACAAACAAACCTGTTGAGTTTCATATGCATACAAAATATAAAATAACTATTATAACATCCATCAACGTGACTGTATGCATTCTGTTTGTGCACAACTCATGAATGTGAGGATGTGACCTAGTGGCTGTTGGTTGTATAACTAGCCAGAGTGATGCCTTTGTTTACCTTGTTTGGAATATACTATAGCATTGCTTTATCATAATATATTGGTCACTTACTAGAAGCTATGAATGTAACCAGTGTTACTTAGGGTAATATTATCTTGATTGAAAAGTTATGGTGAGTAAATATTCATTATCATTTTTTCACTGAAAAAAAGTTTATTGCTGAATAACTAGCTCATTTAACAGTGTTTATGAGAAAATACCACTCATTGACTAATATAACAGAATTTCTGTTTAATTAAAACTAACTATAGTTAGATAGGAAGCACTGAAAAGGGAGAATAAAGTCTGGTTGTCATCATGTACCACTTAAACACTAACTAGTTCAGTAAGCTTTAAGCTACTTTAATTTTAGCATGCACCTGTGTTTCTACAGTTTCTTCAAGCCTGTACTGTAAATTTGTAAAACTATTAATCATTTTTATATGTTCTCTCTGAACCTTTCTCCATATCAAAAACTCAGACTTAAAAGTTTACAATGTTTTTTTATATTTATAATGTTTTTATTTTTCAAGCTGATGATGGATTTAGAAAAAAATTAAAAACATCTGTTATTAAAAACTTTAATATTATATAATTTAATATTTCTTATAAAACTTCAATTTTTTTCTTAGAAGTAATTTTAATCTCTGCAAAGATGTAATCTAATATCATCACAAGTTTCCTTGACAGTATTAAATGCACAATTGGTATATATGGTGTGCTGCACATAACTTGTCGTAAGTGATGTTGTTAAAGATATTACAGACGTTAGTGCTTTGTCACAACACTTCAGGAACTTTACGTTTTTTGTTGTTAATGGATAGGATATATTATTATTGTTTGTGAATTACAGGCCACTATAAAGAAGCTGAATTCCACATGGTGGGCTGGGTGACTCATTTTCTAGATGTGTTTGGAATTTTGGTATATGTATATCTTGAAAACCGTGAAAGAAGTCATCTTTGAAAGTAAAAAGTGGGATTATGACAAAGCAACTGTTTTGTAGGGAAACAAAGGAAAAATTTGAATTTGTGATATTAGTTGTAGCCCTTACAAAGTTTGATGCCTTGAATGTGACTTGAATTTTTAACTTTTGCACTGCAAAGACACAGATCTTGAGAAAGATCTTAAAAAATACATCAGAGATGTTAACTAATTATTAATGCTAGTTCAATAAAGCTAATAAAGATGTTGTCATTTAGACCCAAATATGGGCATTGATTCTAAATTTGAAGAGAAGCGTGTGCATCTAGTAAAACACCAAGGATTAAAGAATCCAGACTATTACATAATTGTGTAATATGACTCACGATTTTAAGGATTGCTATTCTTGAGCCAGTCAAGCTGAGCAGTGCTGGCAAAAAGAAAGCACTAGAAACTACAAAATATCAGTGGTATCACTATTTAAACGATCTAATACTGTCCTTTCCCATGTATCTAGTCTCTTTGTTCATTTAGTAATAGTCAAATACTGTGTTATATCATCAGAATTTACCTCAGAAATTTAATTAGCTAAGAAAAACTAAAAGGATTTGGGTTGATATATATTTAAGTCACACCTGCTATGAAGATGGAAGTAGATCCAGTAATTGAGGACCATGCACTTGAAAACCTGTAAATGTAAGTTCACTTAGGAATATTTTGGTGTGTTTCTTAAAAGTTACTATACTCTGTTCTTGATGTACATGTATTTGGATGGAGGGACCCATTCAGAAGTTTTGTTTCATGGCCTTAGTTCTGTAGCTACAAAACCCTGAGTCATAGAAAATAACAAACCCTCAAGCTGCTAAAAAATATTTGTTTCATGGCTTAAGTTCTGTAGCTACAAAACCCTGAGTCATAGAAAATAACAAACCCTCAAGCTGCTAAAAAATATTTGTTTCATGGCTTAAGTTCTGTAGCTACACCTCCGAGACAAAGAAAATAGGAAACCCTGAAGCTGCTAAAAATATTGTATTGTTCACATTGTACATGAACTCTTCTGAAAGCCCTAATGGACATGAAAAAATCATGGTAAAATACTAAATGTTATGTTATAATCTCAAATATATGTGGCTTTGTAGTTTGGCCCACATCAAGCTGGCATAGATAGGCCAAATTTAACTACTTGAACCATTAAAATATCTCTTGCAATACCATTGTCCACAGCAAAAAAGGGTAATAATGCAGTTTCTTTCACAATGGGAACAATTCTGCATGGCCTGAGCTTCGAAAACCAACAAAATGGAGTAATCCTTCTATGAGAAGTATGGAGAATAACCCAATCCAAACAACCACTGCTACTGCAGAACAGGTGCAAATGTGTCATAATCAAAATTAATTTCATAGCATGGGCTACAGTGACAGAGTAGCTAAATGGAAGCTATTCCTAACTCCAGGTAATATTGTACATATACAGAAAAAGGCATCACAGATGCTACTGCATCATCTTTCCTTTTGGGACATTAATTTTTTTTTCCCATTGGATTTAGACTTGCACAGTTCTTTGACAGTAAACACACCTGGATTTATTAAA